AAAAATACATGAAACTTCTGTGTCTGCAATAGTAAGGTTGCAGACGCTTCTGTTACTGTTGATCTTTGTTCTGTTTTAATCCTAGATCAAATGAAGACCTCTGAAAACATGAAAAAGGAAAAAATGGGTGTCTTCAAGGTTCTCGAAGAATCGTCAGATTCCAATGCAGAATGCGTGTTTTAATGTGCAAATGTGGCCTGTAGCGTTACAGGACCAACGTGCGACTGACATCAGACCTTCCAGAGATGTCACTTTCACTGATCCTTTATGCTGACTTTCCTTAAGGCCTTGTTCAAATCCCTGGTGTTCTTTCAGTGCATTTCAACATGTTCTACAGAATAATACAGGTGATAGTTTCATGTTGTAGCTTTGGTAGGTTCTCATAAAGAATTACAAAAATGAGCGTGGTTCACAGTTGCAGCCAGCTCTTGTGAACAGTGGTTAAAAACTGGCGAATTGGTGTTAAAAAAAAAATCTTCCTGTGGAAGTCCTAAAACTTTTTTTTTTTTTAGATACAGCGTCAATTGTGCTTTTATTTGGAAGGAAGAGAACGTGTGCCGTTGTTACAGCCAGTTGTGTAGCTTCTGTTTTTAACTTCTGCAATTTATTTTGATTCAATAAACGTCTGGTTTGTTCTAAGGGTGTTTTAGCATAGCTTCTTAAACAAGCAGAGCTTATGTTGTGTCTGTTGATTTACACTTTCCCAACGTGTTTAGCATATTAGCAAATCTCACATATTAAAAAAAAAAAACAACCCCGCCCACAACAAAAACCAGGCAGCTTGAATGAGCTAAGGAAAAAAACCTTAATTTTTCTGGTGCAGACATTAATTCTGTATTTGACCGGCTTGTCAGTTTGCATAGCTAAGGTGCAGCTTAGAAGCACATGGAGGGAGCTAAGGGTACTGGAAGGGGAACATGCAGAATGTTCCTTTGGATGTGTGGATGACCAAGGCAGTACTTTCTGGGAAGGGAGGGTTTGGGACTCCCTTGGGAGTTGGGGCAGAAAAGACTGGTGAAGGATATTACTTGCATATGTAGCCTCTAAAAGCCAGCTGTAAGCAGTGGTTTCCAACTTGGGCATCAGGTAGCTTTTAAACTTTAAACTGGTTTGTGAAATGGTCCTCTAGGTGTAATTAGAAGCTGCAGTCATGGAGTTGAACTTGGAGCTGTCACAGTTGCAGTTGTGCTAGTTGTGCCAAGGCATAGGTAACATAGAATAAAATGAAATTGTACTTAATTACCAGACTTCAGAAACTAATTTCCAGTCACTTTATGATCATTCTTCTCTCTGTAGAGAGTAATCTGTTAGCCTGGGCCCCTCACTATAAGAAGGATGTTGAGATTCTGGAGCGTGTTCAGAGCAGAGCCACAAGGATGGGGAGGGCTCTGGAGAACAAGCCTTATGAGGAGCGGCTGAGGGAACTGGGGCTGTTTAGCCTGGAGAAGAGAAGGCTGAGGGGAGACCTCATCACCACCTACAACTACCTCAAGGGAGGTTGTAGAGAGGTGGATGCTGGTCTCTTCTCCCAGGTGATGGGGGATAGAACAAGGGGAAACAGCACCAAGCTGTGCCAAGGGAGGTTCAGGTTAGAGATAAGGAGGAAGTTCTTTACTGAGAGGGTCGTCAGAAGCTGGAACAGGCTGCCCAGGGAGGTGGTGGAGTCACCATCCCTGGATGTGTTTAAAGAGCGGGTAGATGAGGTACTTAAGGATATGGTTTAGGGGGTAGACAGGAGCGGTTGGACGTGATGATCTCAAGAGGTCTTTTCCAACCGAGCGATTCTGTGATTCTGAATCAGAGAAAGTTATTTTATATTAGTAGGAGATGTTTTATCTTTTCCTCTGTAAGGGAACAAATGCATCTGTTCAGTTAATGAGTAGGCTGGCTTTGACCTTTGCCTGTTAAAAGCCATGTCTTGTTTCGAATTGCTGAAGACAAAAGCTGCTACGTTTTTTTCTGTTCAGTTACTTATTAGCCTGAATAATGCAAAGTCCAACAAGTGCTGTCTCCACGTATTGCTTACATTTGCTGAGCTACTATACTAGCAAAGACTTAAGACAAGATTTAAGAGTAAATATTATCCCACTTTCCATGCCGTGGCTGGAAAGCTAACCTGGAGCAGCAACACACAACCACTGGCTGCTGCACCAGGAGAAATGGGAGAGGTGGAAGTGGCAGGAAGAGGCTGCAAGTGGAAACCCAAGTAATGTCTGTTCAAAATGACAGATTGTGTTTTGTGCTGCACACCTATGTGAGACAGTGCCTCTCTGGCAGGGTGCTGACTCGCTAACTGCCTGACACTTCAGATAGAGATAATATGTAAAAGGTGCCTTGCGCTACTGTTAACTTCTGGAGCAGGCGGCTCAGTGTGGCTGCAGGCGTGACCCTATTTAACCTATTTTGTTATTGTTGACAAGTTCCAGATGCCAACTGTTAAACTCCAGAGGAACTTGGAAAGGCAGACTACAGTGAACACTGCAGTTGCCTGCATTGTAAAAGTTGAATACATTTTTTCATTGAGCCACAGCAGAGAGCGATCAAAGTCCTCCCCAATTAATGAATGTGAACTGCCTCCCTAGCCTCTTCCCATACTAATAAATTGGATCAACACTGCTGTCTGCATTAGAAACTTACACCTCCACAGCTCTCCCACAAACCTTTTGTTGTTCCCAACTCCTGCATCAAGCCTTGCACAATCAGTGTTTTCCCAGTGGTGCTGCCAGCCTTCGCTGCAGGAGCTCTGCTGGGGTGATAAAGCACGCGGCCCTGAACAAAGCAGAGCTTGTCTGTTTGCAGCGTGGGGCTGGGGAGGGGAGGGGAAATGCCAGGCATGGTTGATGCTCTTCCATCCTGACCCCCTGACACAAGAGCAAACTCATGAGGTTATCTGGACCGAGCCATGTTTTGCTGATGGATGTTTGTGCAGTGAAAATATTTGGTGAGTTTGCATACTTTATTTTGTTCGGCCCATGCCCTGCTATTGGGGTGCAGCACACCAGATGGCCCCAGTGGCCAGCATTTTCTTCCTGCAACGTGCCATGGGTGGTGGGCAGGCAGGAGCCCCCAGCCTCCTGAGAAAACGGACAGCAACGTGTGTGCAGTGCTGGGAGCAGCCACTGTCCCACACCATGGGACAGCGAGCACCAGTCTGAGATGCAGCCAGAGCAATCAGTTCCTAGAGGTTTACTCCTTCACTCTGGTGGTTCTGTGCTCTCCATTGCTGCACTGGCTTTTTGTCCAGTCCAGCCTAACTGCACCTACCAGGGCTACACCATGGGAGAGCCTTTCACTGTGGAAATGTGTTGTGGAAGGGAGAGAATTAACCCTCAGCAGTACTGAGGGGAGATGTCACCTCAGCAGGCCAAAAAAAACCCCGCTCACCCTGAAAAATGAAGCTGCTTGTGTTTAGTATCTGGAAATTGTGCAGGTGTTTGGACAGGCATAAGCTAGCTGCATGGAGAAGTCAAGCTTTGCCCAGGGATGAGCCAGACAAGGAGTCTGCTGGTTGAGCAATGCCATGCTCGCTTGCCACTGCTTATAGGAGCCTGAGAGCATGAGCTCAATTCAGCTGGGTTGGTGAGTCAGTCGCCTCCCCAGCTGCCAAGGAGCTGTAGAGTTGATCTGGACAATGGGATGCTCATAGTCTTGGTGACAGGTCAGCTTTACCTCAGGTGAGGACTGGTTTCTGGGTTGTGGTTTGGTTTGGTTTTTTCTTGCAAGACAGCTGTGCTGTGGTATGATTCATTGTGAAGGAGAGTAACTGGCGCAGCAGTAAAGCGTTGCTGAAGATGGCCAGGACTTTCCAGGACAGCCATATGACTCTGTCCATAGCTGTTGCAGGGGTAGAGGGGGCTCTGTGCCTGCCAGAGATGACCTATGGCTACAACCCCTTCTGTTTTCAGTCTCTGGCAATTTGTTTTAAAGCAATGACGACACTACGTCTCGGAAGCCATTTATTTTTACACCAAAAGAACACCAAGCATCTTGTTCAGAGGTGTGAGCAGAGAAATCACTGCAGACCATCTCTTTGCTATACATGGGTGAAGGTGCTGCTGCTCACGCACCATCAGCTCCTTATCCAGTGCATGTAGGGCATGTGGCTCCCTCCTGACATTAACCCCAAAGGCACCCTCCAGCAGCCATGCGTGTCTGGTGGTACGGAGAGCAGGGCGATGCCTCTGGCAGCCACGCGGGGCCTGGCACAGGGGACTGTCCCATGTGTCTGCAGATGAACCATAGCCATGGGGTCTGCCCTGTGTTGGATGAAGGGGTGTGTGGTGGTGAGACCCATCCAAGTCTGTGGTGGACAGGGGCAGATGGGCCAGGGCCAGGGACTACAGCCTCTCAAACCCTCTCCTCTTTGTTCTAGGACTCCCTGGTTTCCAGTAAGAATCAAGTAGACCTTTATTCGTAGAGCTGTTTGTGACCAGAGGGGCACCTGGGTAAATGTGATAACAGCTATCATTGAAGTCCCCGGTCCCATCATGATGCTGTGCTGGACACAGAGGAGGCAGCTCTTGGCTGTCTTGCACTGGGGACAGCCCACCAGTGCCAGCTATGGTCTGTGGCTTGGCTGTGCCCACCTGGCCCTTGCTGGGTGCCAGCAGGCAGCTGCTAACAGCAGCTAGGCAGCATGCGAGACCAGTTTGACTCAAGTTTGTAATTCCTGCCTGCTGGAGGACTGGGAGTCCCCGAAGGACTCCAGGGTAAACACAGCCATGCCCTGGACACCTCTTCTGCTGCCCTGGGAACTCCAGTCCAGTGCAAAGGATACCGGGAGAAAGCAGACACATCTGCCTTGTGGATTCACTGTTTATTGAATGCAAACAGAAGGCATGTAACTGGGACACAGAAGAGTTGTAAATCTGACTTTGGCCTCTGATTTTCCGGTGCAACTGACAGCACAAAGTAAAAATAATTATGTGTATTAAAAAAAAAACAACCCAACCAACCAAACAACAAAAACCAGTGAAAGAGGACATAAAAAGAACATTGAATGATTAGTGGCATCTCATGTGAACTGATGGAAGATTAATAATGGCAAGGAAATTCAAAGCCATGCCTAACATTCCTTATTGCCAGCAAGATTCAGCGGGGGGCAGGGACGATGCTTTCCAAGGAAAAGCAGCAGAGGAGAAACTATCCACACCAGATTTGTGAGCAGCACGGTTTACTTTGGGAAGACTGTGACCACCTCATAGCCCTCCGGGGGAATCACCCGCTCCCGGGCGTGCTTCTCGCAGTAGATTTGGTCTTCCACGAAGAAGTGTCCTTTCTGCTTCAGGTTGGTGCCGCAGTCACTGCACACGTAGCACTCAGGGTGACGCTGCTTGTCCCGGATCTTCACAAACACCCCTCTGGGGAAGGAACCAGCACCTCTCAGTGCCAGGTGCCCACCACTGCCTCCCTCCTTCCCAGCCACCTTCCACCCAGCCCAGACCCACACCAGCGCTGAAGGTGGACCATTTTCTCCTGCTCCTGACAAGTCAGAGTATAGGCCCTACCTCTGGTCAGGTAGATGTTAATAGCACTTTTAGAGCCCTGCATGTGCCATCATGGGAGCTCTCCCCTGGAAAGTGTTTCCTAGCACTGGCCTGCCTAAGTTTCACAGGGACAGTCCTATCATCTGTGGCGGCAGGAATCACTGTGATGGCTTCATCAGCTGACGGCTGGATACAACACAACAGCCTTCAGATGCCCCAGATAAAATTACAGGCATCAGCTTGACCATCTCGGGGAGCAAAACCCAGCTCCAAACCTACCAGACTGCAGAACAAATCCAGAAATGACTGCCACCACCAACTGAGGGGGCTGAAGGCTGCCCAGCCAGTCACTGCCCTTTTGCTAGTGATGGACAGGCCAGGTATGGATGGGAGAGGCACAGAGAGCAGATCCTGGCTCTGATCTCAGATGCTACTGCTCAGAAGCTGCAGTGAATGGATCCAGCCAAACGTGGGCCAGCTTTTACTGGAAAACTTCACAGCTTAACCCAGCAGATGATGAGGAAAACTATATAGCAACTCCTTAACTACCAGCAGCAACATGACAACTTGCCAGGAGTACCATTTTGTTCCAGCAGCCATCTATAGTTTGCATAATTCATTAGTTTTTAATGCTATTCATAGCGTTGTACTTTCTCTCCAGATCTACCCAGCTGGTAAAATAATTATAGGGTTTGTCTCCATATTTTGCAGGCTATGGATTGCCTCTGTAATGACTCTGACAGTCCTTGGTGCTCTGGGCATGCCAGGCCTATGCGATCACAGCGTAGTGGGGCTCAGCAACGATCTAACAGCTTGTGGTGGGCAGCATGAGAGAAATCTCAGTTCTTCCATGATGATGCAGGTAGGCTACCAGCACTTGACTGCTGGAGTAAACTGTGAAGCTAAGGGGGTTGTAGTAAGAATTTGTGGTTGAGAAACCGAATGGTGAATCAAAGACATGGGTTGGGTCGCTCATAATGTCACACTTATCATACATCAGCTCTATGTCCAACCCATGCCCTGCCAGAAGTTGGACATACCCACATAAAAACAACAAAAATTATGTCTGTGCAGACACAGCAGAGGTATGTGATCTTACAGCAGCGTGGGGAGCAGAATGCACCTCTCCCAGTCTGCATTGCCTCTGACCACCAGGGCAAGTCTTCACTCCACGGCTGGAAGTGCCAAGACATGAGAACCATTAAATACCCGGGCTCTGAATGGAAATCTCTACACAATTTCACGTCAGAAGCAAAACACTGCGGCAACAACTGTTTCAAGGTCTGCCTCACAGGGACTTGTTTTGGTTTCTATTGACACGGATCTGTAGAGGGAAACCCAACTCCCGCCTCATTGCAAGGAACTGCAGAGTTAGCATTATCATAACTGGTGAGAACAAACATGCCTTGAACCAGCTCCTGGATGCACTGGATGTGGGTAGGTGAAGTGTTTCGGGTGTAGCACCTCAGCCTTTTGCACAGGTATGGGTTGCTCAGCCCCAGCTTGCAACCCCAGGGACAGGCTTACTTACACAATGCCAGATCCACACTTCTCGCACATGGGCAGCTTCTGGGCATTCCCAATCGATGAGGCCACCTTTGTGGTGGGGGCTTTGACGCTCCTAAATCCAGATGGTTTGGTAGGGTCTCCTGGGGGTGGAAGGAGAGTGCTTCAGAGCATGTGAGATGCGTGGCTATAGGCTCTTCCTCCCAAGCAAATGCTCTGCTACAGAGGGGTGATGTTCTTTAACCCCAGCTCTGAGGCAGGGAGTCATGCACGGAAAGGAGGCAGGGATTGAGGTGTGTGGGGAGGAGGGAGACAAGGGACACAGCTGAACCTGGCCCTGGAAACTCAAGGGCCTGAGACTGTAGGCAATCAAATGAGATGATACTGTCTCTTCTCATCTTAAAAGCCTACCAGACTTCAGCTGGTGTATCTCGCATGCATAGATGCACAAAGCAAAGCAAAGCCTCAGCCCCAGCCTTGACAGCACAGAAGTCTGCCTGTTGTGTCCTGATCACACACGTAGGGTCAGGCTGATTGCCAGATCTGGGCTCAGAAAGAGGAGGTGGGTGTCCTGGCAGACGAGGGAGGACTGTCAAAGCCATTCTCCAGCCTGCTGTCTGGTGTGTGGTGGGGCTGGCTCCTGTAAGGCTCCTGAAAGAATTGGTTCAAACAAACTCCTTGTTGTGGCAGCGCCCTGGGACACTGGGGTTATCCTTGTGCTCTCCTACCCTGTGTGGCATGCTCAAGGGACGGTATCTCCCTAGTGCAACCTCTCTGGGGCAGCGATGTCCAGCAGATCCTTCACATGAGACATCTGCTGACCTGGATGCCTACAACAGCAGTAGATTGTAGATGCAGGATACAAGGCAAACCTTTAAATATTTGCAGTGAAAAAGGAGCCTCTTACCGAATGACACTATATATGACACCAAATGACTACTAAGACTATGACTAGTCTTAACTATGTGACTTTTGCAAGAGGTTAAATACCAGGCAACAGGGGAAGGAGGGCTGCAGAGACTCCCACAATGGTTCACCAGAAACAGAGGGGGTGATGGGCAGACCTGTGCCACACCAGATGAGGAGGGGAGCTGATAAAACCCTTCTGACTAGTGTCAAGCCAAGAGGACACTGCACCAGTTGTTCCTGGTGTAAGGGAAGGACAAACTCTCCAAAGGCACACTCTGGTGACCAGCAGGGTCAGGCACACATCACAGCCTGGGGCAGCACCACAGGAGAGCTGAGGGGAGCAGCTGGGGAACTGCCCACTGCACCTCCCTGTCACCCAGCCTCGTGCAGAGAGCAGCCCAAGTGCCACCACTCATCCGTGGAGCAGGTGACACTGTGCTGCTTTGCCTCTGGAGCAGCCTTCAGCTCAGAGGTTTGCACCCTGCTTTGTGCAGAGATGCTGGTCTATAGATGCAAGTTCTCCAATGGAGGCACAGCCCATGTGCCCTCCAAACACCACAGGAAACACCTGCTCTCTGCCAGTTACTGTGAGTGACCCTTGCTGGGAAGGAAGCAGCAGCAACCACATTTTCAGGCTCTTCCCTATCACCTCTGTTCATTCTCTCTGCTTCAACCAGCACATTCCTTCCATCAACATTGACAGCATGTTTTTAAAACTCTTTAAAGGAACCAGCTTAATTAAATATCCACAGGAAACATAACCTGTTCCGCCCTGCAAAACACTCTCCACCTAAGAATGCAGGGTCTGAACACAGATCAGCTGTGGTGCTTCCACACCCCAGCCCCCACACACCGACCCCATGTCTAGGGCCAGGCACTGGTTTGGTGCAAGTCAGCAGAGCCCATACAGCCAGCAATGCCCCAAGAGACCTGTCCCAGCCGAGGAGATAGTTCCCTGCTGCTGCTCACGAGCCATGGCCTGCACACAGGCTCGGAGAAGCAGCCAGCAAACGTGCTATTTATCTGCTGTTTTATCACCGTGGACATGATCTGACTCAGCAGCAGTGGTGTCAGAGCCTGGTCGAGCGGCTCGGCAGGCAGGGGCACTGTCTCCTCGGGACAGACATTCCTTTGGGGCTGCGTAACCTCCCAGCCCTGCTCCGCATGGGTGATTATCAGTTCACGGTGGAGCAATGCCAAAGCCTATCCTGGCCTGTGGTCCGGCAGGCAAACCTGGTGCCAGAGAATCCCAATAATGCTGCAATTCTTCAAAGAAAGATAAAATAGAGAAGCTTTTTGCTTCTTATCTTCTTCAGCACTACTAAGCACAGGGGAGGACCTTGGATGTGTGTGAAGTCCCAGCTACTTCAGTCCCTTCCATGCACGAGTTGAACCCTGAAGGGCAAGTTGTAAACACTCAATATTTAAAAGATGCTTTCAGGTAGGTATTGTAACAGCATATTAAAGTCAAGAACCTGGTTTCTTTCTTCCTATTGTTTCCTTATTTCCTTCATTTTGCTCATTCCTTACACATCCCTCAGACCTACCAGCACTTGGTTGATCTGTTTCCCTTTGTGGCAAATATCTCAGCACGAGGCTTTCGTTGGATGAAACGGAACATTCCACTGCCAAGCTAATAGCAAAAAAAGACAAAGTTTCAACTGGCCTAAGGAAAAAAAAATCATTCTTGGAATTCTTTTCCTTTTTATTTGTTTCTTTTATTCTATTTTATTCAGTGGTAGAAGAGAATATTATTTGACCCCCAGCTAAGTTAATTGGCTTTTTATCTTAAAGTCTATAGCCCTGAACTGCACAAGTCCAGGTGTTAGATCAAGAAAGCCAAGCAGAGTGAAGTTTCAGAGATTAAAAGCTATGAACTGCTCACTGTAACCCAGCTTCTATATTTTTACATTCAGCTGCAGAAGCGGATAATTTTTCTTGTGTCTAGGGACGGAGATCAGAAGCTTAAGGACTCACTGAAGAGCCTTGTCTTGTACCATTCAAAGTCTTGACTCTAAGAGGTCTTTAGTTAGTGAATATTATCTTAAAGGGGCAAAACTTAAAAAGTAGAGAAGAGTTTTTGCAACTTCCAAAATTCCTTCTTGATAACTAAATGTTGTAGGGGTTTATTTTTTGAGCACTCTCTTAATGAGTAAGCAATTACATGGGCCCATAGACACTGAAACTTACCACAGTGAGAAAATAAGGAGTAAAGTTAGCGAAAGGGTTGTTTCTGTGGAAACCATCTACACATGCTACCTTGAACAATCACCAGCTAAGGAAGGAAAATCAAGTTTTAGATGTTACTCTTAAACGCTGTACACAGCCTAAGGAATGGCAACAGGGATCAGGTGCACAATCAGATTAGCTGTGCACAATCAGATTAGATGTGCAAGGAGCGCTTACCTTTCTCTTCTGACTCCAAAATTTCTTGCAACACGAGGAAGGAAGCAGATTGTCTGGGTGGCTCATTCGACTCTTGATTCTCCTGGAGCATCTTGTAAACCTCAGATTCTCTGTCTATTACGATGTTGCCTGGGGGCTGGTTATGCTGATCTAAACTGAGGAAGGAACAGAGCAGACGCTTGTTAAATGGCTGAAAACTAAAGCCAGTCCCTGTAGCAAAATTTTCACGATGCATCATATGACTGAAGAATGAACGTGCAAAACAAATGCACAACAGGATGCCACGAAACAGAGAGGTGCTGGATGTGCTCGCACAAGGCAGCTGCAGCCCTGGTGGGACCGGCACACTGGGCTGTCCGCATATGCCACTATCAATGGGCTCTCATGGACTGCCTTTGGCCAGTCACCAGGTGTTATCCCTGCTTCACAGTTACTATATAGTCCAGAAACGAAAATTTTTTGGCCAGGAATCACTGCTGCTAACAAGAAAACAACTCATGTGCAGGGATGGGAATCCCATACAGTAGCTGTGCCATCTATGCATGTTCCTTGCATGCATAAACTACCTTAGACTGCTACCTTACACTGCTGTGAATCTCAAACTAAGTAAAGTGTATTCCATCCAAAAGAAATCTTTGCAAGTGCACTATGAATTGGTCTGAAAGGTCACCTTCACAAAGTAACAGCTGTAGGATCTAACTAAAAGACCCTCTGACTGGTTTTCAAGGGACTGTTATTATTTCCATTTTGTAGGTGAAGACTCTGAGCCACAGCCCATTTACAGCATTTAACTAAGGTTAACAAGCAGGCCAGGGGCAGAGGAAATTTCTGTCTGCTAAGACTAAGTCCTCCTTTCAGCTGCCTCCTGGGGTGCTGCTGCTGCCGCTCCTGTCACCAGGGTCTTGCACCCTCAGCCTAGAGCCCGAGGTACTCAGGGGCTCACAGTGCAGAGTGGCTGAAAGGGTACCCGTTGTGCCACCAGAAGGGTCTTTAGGGGGGGGAAAAAAAAAAGAGGCTGGAGGATGTTCTCCACATCCAGTGGGTACAGGATATACTACAGGCTTAAAACTGCAGGAGGATACTCAGACTATCCCTTGGGAAAAGCCCTTGGACAGACACCAGATTACCAGAGGAGACTGTCATGGACAGGTGAGCAAACTCCATACATTTAAAGAGTCTGGACAAATGTCTGCTGGGAATGATTTAAATCAATGGTTTAAATTGACCAAATGGTAAGCTAGGGGATGGACTGAATGACATGGGAGGTTCCTGCCTGTGTTGCATTCTGTGGCTGAAATAAAACATCTCTGGAAAAATGATACAACTGACAAGTCTCCTCTGACAGCTCAATTACATAATGCACCCCTATAAATGAAAATGGTCTATTAGGTTTCACCGTCCCTGCACCCTGTGATTGCCTGAAAAGTACATAAACATCCTGAAGTTCAGACTAAATTGCAGAGGAAATCTTTCTTGAGGAGGCAACTGCATACTTTCCATGCCAATACGCAACCGAGTCATCTGGGAGTTACTCTACATAATAAACTCTTCAAGCATCAGAGGTAAAATCATTGCACGTGTTATAAAATGCCATTTCCATAAAAAGAATTTCATAAAATGTTTCCATCTTTAGTAATTTTCAGTGGAGCTGGAAGCACATTAGACTTGCAAGCAGTTGAACCCCTGAAGCCTGAATCTCATTTACTGAAGCCTCTCATCCAAAATAAAATAAAGGTGTGCCTTCAATTACAGAGAAAATGTCCTAGGTTAACCCAAAGGAATCCATGTTCCACATTACATTCATCTTGTGTAAATTCATACACTCCCATCACTCAGTCCACCCATAAAAACATTACGCAAGAAGCCTGTCATTGCAGTTCGCATACTAAGAATGTTCCACTAACGTGCATTCAAGAAACAAAGATTAAATCATCTTAAAGAGCATGAGAGTAAAACAAAGCCATCACATTTCAACCATGCACTGTGAGTGTGCAAAACATACAGATCAACTCTCCCAGGTATGCACCCTATAGATGTACTTGCATATACAAGACTATAAAAAGGCCCAAATGCTAGAACTTGTACCGGGGCAGAAGGCTTTGCTGTTTAAAGAAAAAAAACCAAACAAAACCCAAACCCAAGCCAAAATCAACCACCACCACATCAAAAAGCACATGCATCTTTTGAATGGGCAAGGCCACAGGCACAGGAATCATGCCTGCAGGATACTGAGTCTCCATATGTTGGCTGATATATGGCATCTCCTGTTTCACAGGTACTTTATCTGCTGCAATCACCAGCAACTCCTGTGTTTTTCCATGCCTGGCAGTTCCTCGATGCAGCAGCTTTGTGGTGAACTCCAACAACCTTTCCTGGATTTCTGACTCACACAACCCTCACTGGATTTCACTTCTTCTACCATGGGGAACTTGCAACACTGACTGAGTAACAACGGATCACTCAGCTTTGAAAACTGGCAAGATGATGGCAATAAAAACCATAAAGACATAGCCTTGCATGGTGTCTTCAGCAAAGCACACCTCATTCTTTACTAATGTCAGTTTACTATTTTATGCTAGCACATTTTGTAAAGTTTACAAGGCTCTCAAAGCTGGGCCGCAGGAAGGCCCAGTACTTGGAGCACTCGCTTTTGGAATGAAACAGTTCGTTCCTTTGTGAGCATTATCAGCTATCAGGACCAGCACAGCCAGCAGAGTGTGACCACTCCTGGTGTGCACAGTATCCACTACAAGCCAGAGACTTACAAGACAGCAAGTAACTGGATTGAGTAAGGAGGCAGGAGTAAATCCACACCCTCCCATTATCTCTTGGCTGCTGGCACATGGCAAAGCTTGGCTGTATGTGGCCACGGGTGAGGACACCAACTTTTCTGCTTTGAAGCATGTGATGCTTAGCCCAGGAGGGGACTGTGAGCAGCCAAGGGGATATAAATTCTGACTGTGCCCTTTTATTCTGTCCCATGGGGGCCATGGGACTGACCAACTTCCTAGACCATGTCATGTAGCTGCAAGCTGCTTGGTAACATAGCAGAGTAACTCTGCTGAAGGTTCCCATCTCCTGGAACAATTCAGCCTTGACTGGAGCCCTCCCACAAGCTGTCTAAATGTGCTTTCTGCTTCACCCATTTTGAAACTGAAGACCATATGGGCTGTCATTTAGAGGCACAGGCCAGCTGGTACCCAACCGCCACAAAGCAAACACCAAAGAGCACCCAGGTCTTGTGATGCTGAGGCTCTCTGCAGGTCCTGCAGACCTCAGAGCATGACCTGCATCCTCCACTCCTATGGGCAAAGATGCAGCCTCAAGAGCAGCAGCCTGTGCAGACAAGTGGGCAGGGGTGTGAACACAGACCAGGTCCTCCATGTGCCTGGTGCCTGCTCAGGATGCTTCAAACTCATGAGTGTTATCAGCCAAAGGTGGAGACCCATGGGGACCTGCTTCAGTCTGAAATGAAACCCGCCCAGCACACCCATGGCCCAGCTCGCAGCCAGTGAAACAAAAGCACAAGGACAGAAGTGTCAGCACCTTCCAGCTGCAAACAACAACAGTCATTTCAGTGCAGAAGAAACACCAGCTTTCAGGATAAAGCACTTTCCTGACCCCAGCAAATCCACCTGCTGCAGGTGGCTCCTCCAGGAAAGCCACTAGCTGCTCTCAAGGCCCTGCTGCGCAGAGGCAGTGGACACACTGACAGACTGAAATGATGTTTTGGTGTTTCCTGTGGCGTTGGACACAAACACAATGCAGAGAAAGCTCCTGTGAAGAGTCATGCACTAATGTCGGAAAGGTGACATGTAGATGCTGTTTCCTTGTGACTGGGCAACGCCGTGAGTCACAGACAGGGACGAGCCACTTGTGGACACTGAGATGCGGATGAACGGATGCACCGAGCTGGCCACAGGGGCAGCAGGCAGGTTACCTGGGGAAATCGGGGCTAACAGAAGAGATCTGCCCCTGCAGGGAATCCATGATGTTGCTCTGCGAATAGAGCTGCAGGGGAGAATTGAACTGCACGTGCAGCACTTTGAGTCCCGGCACCTCCACTTCCACAGGGCTCTTGGGGCAGACCTGGGCTGCGCGTTTCAGCTGCTCTGGCCCCACTCGGACTTGGCTGGGGACGGAGGAGGTGCTGTGCCTCCGCTGCAGAGACTCGGAGGTCTGCGCCTGCAGAGGGTTATAGATGGAGGCGACGGGAGCCTGCATCGGGCTCATCAGCGATGGGTGGCTACGGGCCCACACATTCACAGGGGTGGTTTGAGTTGTGGATGTTTGGGGGTTCATTTCGGTTTTACATTGTGGAATTGAGAGAAAAACGCAGAGGAAGAAGAAAGGAAAGAAGGAAGAAATTAATGAAGGACTAAATTAAATACTCCAAGCGATACAAGCAGTTGCAGAATGAATACTGTCTGTTCCTTGTGCCAGAGGAACACATCACTGAATACATGACTTTCACATTAAAGGCTTCTGTCTAATGCTCTGGCTCTGGTCTCACGCTCCAGGTGCACTCACAGGAAAACTAAAATGCAGTCACTCTACTGATGAGCAAATGCAGAGGTGGTACAAGCAATGAAGTCATGGCATTGGGGTTTCAATATGAACTAGCTACCTGAGCACACACTCATGGTCCCACACACTCATGTCTAGCCAAGGCGTGACACCTTCACTGTTGCCCTTCCCAAAGCTAGCACCCTACTGAGGGGCAGTCTCACCTCTGATTCCAAAACAGATATGCTCAGCAGTGGGGCTTCTTCCTGCCCTCCCCACCTGCTTTGTGACACCAAATCCCATGGAGATGTGTGCTAGTGTTTCTGTCTGCAACAGGGCCCTGATTTACATCACACATCCTCTAAGGATGGACCATAGACCAGGTCCCTGTGTCATGTCACCTCGTGCAGTGGCAGGATAAGGCTGTCTGGTTCAGACAGACTGTGTGTCTGCTGGGTGCAGGATGGAGATGTAGATAAAAGCCGGGTAAACCCACAGCAAAGTTGGCCATAAATAACTCAGCAAAACAGATGGGCAGGAATATAAAGGCAGCTGGAAGGCTGTGTGAAGGGAGAACCTCCACATCCTGTGCTTGTGCACTGGGGAGACCACAGTGGATTTTTAAAGGCAAGGTGAGACCCGTGGCTCTCACTGAAAGTGAGAAGCAATTAATTTTATTTTGATGACTCTGTAAACAAAAGCGTGTTATCATTGAAGGTCTCATCCACAGTCCCCTCAGCATTCATTTGCAAATTGCTGTGTTTCAGCAGGGGAAAGATGAAAGAGATGCCATGTACCCTGCATGCAGCAGAGCTGGTAATGGACCTTCCTGCCTGAAGGAGCACAGTGAGCCATAGCATTAGAAGAAACCCACCTCTCTGCTGATCCCTGCAAGAAAAAGGGATCACCCACAAGTTTCCAGTCAAATACACCTGGCTTCCAGACAGTGCTCTCACCTGGAGGGGACTCCAGACTAGACCAGAGGTGGTATTTGACTGCCAAATGGTCCCATCAGGTTCACACAAAGTCAGATTTCCCTTGTCCTTTCTCTGCCTTTGCTTAGCCCCTGGATGAGGCTGCTGAAGTCTACCAGAAGCAAATGAGGAACAAGCATCTGTCACCTCATCTGCCAGCTGCAGCCCTCTACCTAGAAGGACACATGCTGCAGACGGAGCTGCCAGTGCAAGGCTGTGTTAAACCACAGTCTCAGGTCTTCATGGCCTGAAAGAGCAGACGCTGAAGTTACTTTGGTCTCTCCATTCACAAGTCAGGAATTTAGTTGAGTGTCCCCTAAAGCATTGGTCTTGCAGCTTTTGTTGCAGAAGTGGCCACAGTCTTCCCAGCAGTTTGGTACTGCAATACAGAGACTTAGGGCACTTAAGCAACTTGACCAACACTGCCAGAAAGATTTAAGAAAGCTCCTGATTTATTGCTTCCAATGAAAAAAGAGGAACTTTGGAGTTCTGGGACAAAGTAATGTCTTTGATGAAAATCAGATGCAACCACCAAAATGAATAGGTCCTTTTAAGGTTGGGACCCTTTCCAATCCCATATATAAAATTGCTCACACAAGTATGAATGTTTCAGCTACTTTTTAAAACTTGTATGAAAAACAAGGTTCAATAATAAAAAAATACAAAGATCCAAACTTAGGCAGAGCCTGTCTATGAATCCCAGGGCAGCCAGGAACGGGGACGTGTGTGCTTCCTGCGCTAGCTGGTACCCTTCCTGCCCAGCATTGCCCACAAAGCCAGCACAAAACGCTAACTTTACAAAGTGCTCGTAACAAGCTGTCAGGCACCTGTTCAGACCAGCGGGCTGGTATGTCATGCTGAACGCACGCGGAAACTGCGTCGGTCTCTGCTAAACAAAGAAACACAACAGCATTAACTTCATTTCTGCATCTCATGAAACATTCCCCGCTCCTCCAAGCCCTGCCCCTGGGAACCACATCCATGCTGGTGCCTCTGTTCCTTGTCCTGAAAAAAGAGCTTTTCTGGTTAACAAATTGGTACCCTCACAGTGAACTCATGACTCTTGAAGCCTTCCCCTCGGGGCCCGGGCAGGGAGGGGAGGCGAGGAAGATACTTACGGCTTGGTAGGCTCCGTGGCCCCAGGTGATGTCTTTGACTCCACTGCACAGTTGAAGCTCTGGATGTTCTCTGAGGAGTAGAGGCCTGCTGGGTTGTTGTACTGAGCAGTGATCACTCTGGGGGCAGAAGCTGTGGCAGCAGTGAAGGGCACCGCGCTCCGGTTGTGTGCACTTCCTATGTGCCTTATTTCCTGCATGCAAAGGAGCAGAGGCAAAAATCAGAGGTGCTCAGGCATGCAGGTGGGAGGTGATGGGGCAGCCTGGAGCGAGCAGTGGTGGCCTCTGCATGTGGTGTCAGCTGAAGAGCATGTGACTACGACCACCAAATATTGTGAGCATCCTCCACACATAACAAGGACCCCTGGCCCCGTCCTTGGATGGTTTCAGACTGACCTGCAGGACATTTCAGAGTCAATGTGCTGGGAACATAAGAGCTCAGAAACACTGCCAGAGCTGTTAGCTCAAGCTGCCACACACCTGGGAGCTTCTGCAAGCTTACAGTAAGCCACAGGACCTACCTTCTCATGCAAGACTACAGATTTGAAGCACTCCTTGCAATTCCTGAAAGCAGGGCCGTATCTGTTCTTTCAGCTAAGACTGGTGTTCACAGCTATCTTTGATGAACAACTTTGGACTTTCCAGATAAGAAATTTCCACAAGAAAGGTGGGAAGATGACCCTTGTTAATACAAAAGACTGTTCATAGTGACAGCTAAATGTCAGAGATTCTTTAGGGCCAGAAGTATGAGATATCACCAAGATGTTCTGGGTTTGGTGCAAACTAGGGGCTTCCAGAGGTACTAGCAGATACTTAGAAACACTGGTTACAATTTTAAAAGAAAGATCCCAAATGCAAGTTAAATAAGACATTAAGTAAGACTCTTCCAAGTCACAGGCAGAACTATCAAAACTGCAGAAATTTCAAAGCCCCATCACTAGTTAAGCAGGCTGGGAATTAGCAGCCATGGGGCAGAGATAAAAACATTCAGGGCTTATTTCAGCTCAGAGAAGATACTCGACTTAAAGCAAGGAGTGAGCACAACTAAAGGAGGCAGAAGAAAGGACTAACATTCACAGAGGCAGCTGAAATATCCAGGGCTAAAGATGGGACCAAAATGTGCATTTTGAAATGTTTCAGCCAGCTGTACAGATTGGGAATGGCATCACTGCAGGGCTAACGCCCAATGGCACAGGATAATATGGGGCCTTTAACGTGCTGGGCCCATGGTTCCCAGCTCTAATTAACACAACCAGATCCCCCTCCCACTCCATACAGGCACTGACTTCTACAGCAGTAAAGTGAGCCTTCACCGCCCTTTGAACGTCTCGCGGCATTTGTTTCATAGAGCTATAGTTACAGGATAAACACTCACTAGAAACAAGGGTGACTAAATTCGCCATCAGATTTTTCTTTACAGCACTTTTATGTCCCCAGATTTCCTTAGGCAGTTGGCTAGCATTCCCAGACTGACAGATGGGAGTCATCTCACTTCATGGCACTCAAATGCTATTTACGGCATCAAGCAGCGCATAGGATCCCTCGGAGAAGAACGGCGTGGATCCAAACACACTCATGAGTTACAATTCATTTGAAATCTGTGGGGTAGCTCAGGACATTAAGGTGTGAGGTGGCAGGACTGCTCTCCCATGGCTTTCTGACTGACGCATATGGACATCAACCATGAAGCTTTCCCACACACCAAATGAAAAAAGACCCTGGAGTAATTAGCTAATCTGCTTTTGTTGCAATCTCATTCAAAGCACATAATAGCGCTCATAAAAATAGTCTTTCCCATGGCAGAAACTGCAGATTTTAGCAAAAAAATTACTTCAGGCTGTATATCGCACCGTGGGGAAAACTATCAGTGATCTTATATCAGCATTACATACACATGCTAGCCCACCATTCGGGGGCCACAAGTGGGAGAGCATTTCAGACGTGCACATAAATAGTTGGTTTAATGAAAGACAGAGGCAGAAGTTTTAGGGTAAAGGGGTTATACTCTTAGGTCAAATAGGCTCAAAGTTTAAATCATGTCTCAACCTGTACTGTGGAAACATTTAAACATTAACCAAGAATTAGAGAAAGGGAAGTAATTTAGGTGTTTTAGGGGTTTTTTGTTGAATCTGGTTTCCTAACGAAGTAAGACGTCTCAGTTACATACTCCTCATCCATGTGGGCACATTCTCACCCCCCATGAAGGACCTCTGAATCTGTCAGCCAAGCCCAAATTAGTTTAACAGAGTGATGGAGGCATCAAAAATGTTTAAACTCCAACAAATGCTGAGAAAATAGACAGACAGATGGAGGAAAAAGACTGAAATCACATCAGTGCCTTGACTCAAGAACTGCAACATGCACTCAGGCACAGAATCCACACAGGAAATTTTGGCCCACTTTTGGCTACCAGCTGGATTTTCTGCCATGTAATAACATTCCAGACCATAAATAAAGCTTTCAAAAATGTCATGACATCTGTAGTAGCTCTCATGTGGGTAAAGTCCACTGAGTATAAAGGAGTTTATAACAGATTAAATAGAGATATTGGTGCAGAAGCTGGTGTCTAAAGATCAGAATAGAAAAAATGCCATCTCAAGAACAGTGTAGAAGGTGCATAGTCTGGGAGGCTACAGACAAGTGTTACAAGAACGGTAACACTATGAAGGGCATTTGGATAAACCAAATTCTCCAGCACTTCTTGTCATGCTGTGATGCTCTTTCTGCTTGAGCTGTGGAAGGAGTTTGCAAAGAACAAGTGCTTTCATGATCCTAAGATCAAAGGATAATAAGTTCTCAGTGTCAATATATTTACCTTGGGATTTGCCAGAACTGCCAATCTGGGCCCTGTGCTGTGCAGCAGCTTTGTTAAAGCCCCAGCTCCTGGAATCACATGTTTATGTGAATTCATGTGACTTAATACTGGAAAAAAAAATCAGAAACGTGACACTCCCACAAACACACACCAGCAGGCAAGCAAAAAGAATGTTAGTACAACTACTCTGCTGTATTGTGCACATGTGTGGGGCAGTGCCTGGTTCATGCAGTTGAGATGCCCAGAGTTCGCAGCATGTCTAAGGCTGTGAAGTCCCAGAATCAAAGATTGCAAAAGCAGTAAGCAGTAGTCTGTCTGCAAAGGAAGAGCTGGCAGTCAGACACAAGGACATGCTCTTATCCAGCCAGAGCACGACCCGCACTTTCTTTGTCAGTAGTACAGAGGAGTGTAACTAATATTAGATCTTTTTTTTTGGAGGCATCTTTGGTTGGTATCTGCAGGCAGAGCCAGAAGTGCTTGCCTCACCCTTCCTGCAAGCCATGGCGCTGCCTCGGTCCCCTGATGCCGGCCCCTGGGCTGCAGTCAGCAGCAAGCAGGGGTAACAGCAGTGGCTATTTCGGTCTGAAGCCAGGGTATGAAAGCTCCCAAGGCTCCAGGCAGGATATTCAAGAGGAATATTTTACCACTATAAATTGATACCATGATAGCTAAATCACTTTGCACAAATACCAGCCTCACTCCCCTTTTGTATGTCTACAGAGGGGCTGGCAGAGTGGCAAGCCCAAGCTAAAATAGATTTGCAACTGCACAAACTTCTCTGTCAGGGTGCTGTTTCTGGACTTGAAAAGGTCTCATCTTGCTTCAGTTCCAAAATGATGCCATTCCTTCAACAGCCTCCCCTTACCTGAAACTACCTCCTCTATATGAACAAGCACCAAGTGGCTTTGGAGCACAATCCTATGTGCTCCCAAGCTCTTCAGGCACCACTGCAAATCCCCCCATCCCAGAGAAAAAGTTATTTCCCAGTCCCAAGGACAAACAAGGTTTGTAGGACCCCAGGTCCAGGTCAAATACACAGGTCTCCTGCCAGATGGGTTTTCTGGGTGCCAGCTGTTGGTGGCAACAGCCCTCTCTGGGGGCAGATGGGGACACTGCCATGTGCTGCACTGCAGCCCTTCCAGCTGGGTGCCAAGGGGCTTCCGCTGCTATTCGGCCCTCCCACTAGCGACGGTGCCAGGCTGCGGGGATTGGGAAAAACGTCCCTGTGATAGGGCAGGAAGCGGGTCAGCGTTTCCTACCACACCGGCTGCAGGCTGCGTCATGGGGAATTATCTGGGAAAACAATGGCCCCTTCCTCCCTTTCGTCCCGCTCGCGCCAGGCCACGCTGAAGCGCAGCCTGTGAAATCCCCACAGCTGCGCCAACCAACACCTCCATCCCAGGGCTGGCCGGTGGCTGGCCGCGGG